CTCCAATTGGTAAATTTTAAGAAAAAGAAAGAATGTGGGAACGTGTAAAAAAAAGGGGATGTAAATGATACATCTCATAACAATTTTAAATGAATAAGATAAAAAACAGTGTGTAGAGATACACACTTGGGCAATAAAACACTAAGGAAGTACAAGAAAGTGATTACTACTGGAATCAATGTAATGGTTACTTTGTGGGGTTGGGGACGAGCATTGTGAACTGTGACAGGACACGCAGAGGACATCCAGGGTGGCTGACAAGAGTGCTTTCCTATACTAATGTGATGAGCTATAATTTTGTTGGGTTTTCAGTATTTTTTTATAATTTTTCTAACGGCGGGAATAAAAATAACATCAAAGCCCTTTGGATTTTCCACTAAGAATTATGGATGTGAATACCTCTACTATAAATAACAGCTGACGGTTCTTAAGAACTTGCCTACATTATAGAAATATTCCTAAATAAGCTACAAACATTTGAAAAATAGAATATTAAATTCTTAGGTATGCAGTTATAAAAAGTAAAAGAATTAGGCATACATTCCTAACATGAAATTAATTTTGTTACATTATGCTATACAATTTGGTTAAATGGACTTCATCGACTTCCAAAATTTTCCTTCCCTACCATACAAAGTTATTCGTGTTATTCTATTAGTGATTAGAACATGAGCACTGAAACAGATTTCCTATTTTCTTGCATGTCCACAATTGGTTTCACGTTCCATCTTTTCACATAGAACAAAGATTAGTTATCTTGCCCTACCATGATGCTGTTTATTAATAAGTAGCATTACACATACTGTCACCCAGTTTGCAAATAAAGATCCTTCGCCCACCAATCCCAGCGTTCGGTTCTCTTTCATAGTATATTAATGGCTAATGGAGACTCTTTTTGTTTGTTGAGCGTCTAAAAAGCTCAGGGGTGTAAAACAGATTTAAACCATCAAGATAAAAGCGGTTTTAAAACGCAAGAGAACTGTGTTGTACATTTCTGCCCATCAGACATCGACAATGCCCCCCAACTGTTCAAGCAGCATCTGAACAAATGGTGCAACTGTATGGTCTCCTTCCTTCTCCTTTTCACGACATTATGTGGTGTTTGAGTGACTCACATATTCCAGAAGTGACCGGTCTAATACTCTTCGGATAAGAGCTTCCTCAATTATATTAAAATCCTACAATTAAGAAAAATAATTAGAAACATACAATCAGAGACGGTTTTCACAAACTGAGGGAGCCCTGAGTTCAGTGATCTGTCCAATCTTCCATAAAAAACCCGTCAGGGAACCTAGTGCTTTTGTTTGGGGCCAGTGCATTTTCTATTTCATTTGACTGCCTAGGAAGTAACCAGTTACTGTCATAGTAAAATAGTCCTGATTTGGAATTTAAAGTTTTGAATCTGATCTAATGAGTAGTTTTTAATCAACGCTACAAATACTGGTCAGAGAGCTAGATTCCACATAACAGGTCATATAAAGTTAAGACATTTCCATAGGACTCAGCAATCTCAGTACAACTACTGAGTATCTATCTGAAAACTGCTGAAAGCAAAACTCTCTTTCTCTTTGCCTTCCTGTGGTCAAAATGGCATTCAAAACTTCAAGTCAGCACATTCTGTTAACAAGACAAAACCTATCAAGAGCTCTGTCCTTTGCAACCCATCTTCTCTTCCTTCAAAAACTAAAAACAAACAACAAAAACCCAACTCTAAATCTGTGTTGAAAGTTCATTCTGAAACATCTATATATAAAAAAGCCTAAGCAACCGTTGGACCCTTTGACTGATAGCTATGACACGCACTGACCACCAGGGGGCAGATGCTCAACACACAGACGTGGAAACATGGAACAGAATAATGAATCTCAGAGGGAAGGGAGTACGGGGGAGGGTGGGAAGAGATTAACCAAAGATCTTATATGCATACTAGAGGCCCAGTGCACGGATTCATGCACTGGTGGGGTCCCTTGGCCTGGCCTGCGGAGATCTGGCCGAATCCATGCATCCATGCACTGGTGGGGTCCCTCGGCCTGGCATGCAGAGATCCATGCATTGGGCCTCCAACATTCCCTGAGGGGTCCCAGATTGTGAGAGGGCACAGGATTCATACTTTGAAAGATCTTGAGAAGAACGGACTGAATGTGAACAGCTGGAACAGGTGATGGCTTTTGGAACATCTGATGGAGCTACACTAAAGAGGAAGCCCACCCTACGTGCTGTGAAAAATGAGAACACATAGACCAGAGCCAGGCTCGGTGAGGCCTTGTGTCCTTTGGGGGCCAGAGACCCTATTTGGGAGGCAGAGCAGAGCCCATGAAACTCTGGTGTAGCCTGTGCAGTCCTTCAAGTGGTCCTCATATTCCCATCTATTCTCTCCCCACCTCCAACTTGCCTGAGATCCCTGCCCACACTGTGCAAAGCACTTTCCCTGCATTCCCTCACTTAATCCCCTTTGGGGAGTAGGTGCTTTTTACTCCCTTCACTTAGCAAATCAACAGAGGCTCAAAGGGCAGTCCTCTGCCCAAGGTCACACTGTTGTGACAGAGCTGTTACTTAAATCCAGGCCAGCACCTAAATTCCTTGTGTTGAACCTGGATAATCATAGTGCGCAGATCAGAAAACAAAGAGAGAATTTTCAAATTAACCATTTTTAACAAATCTTTAACAATTACTGAATTCTATCTTAAAATAGCATAAAAAACAATGTCAAATGATCTGCGAATTCAAATTTAGCCATTAACATTCCTGTATTTAGATGAAAGTTACAATAAAATACTATGTTTCAGAACATGGCTCTGAGTGATTTCCCCCCTTAATAGGCTAAAAGGGACTCAGGATAACATATTACCCTCCCATGACAACACATGGACAAAAGCACAACAAAGGCTACATTAACTTTTTGCTTGTTATTTTAATTTCTGATTATGGGAAATACAGTCATAAGCATTAGGACTATTCATGCAAAACCTAACTTTTCTTGCATTTAAAAAAAAGCCAATATAACGAGATTGGCCATGTGTTGGTAGTTATTGATGTGTAGGTGATGGTTCTATGGGAGGTTCACTATACTATTCTGTCTACTTTGTGTACATTTAATATTTTTCATAATAAATTTTTTATGTTTAAAAAAGTTCAGTAAATACTGTATTTTATAAAATTTAAATTAAAAATAATGGCTATCTGCCTTACTACACAGATAATTTCATATCTGTGAGCAGTCATTCAATGTACTATAAAAGCAACTGGCCTGGCTGGTGTAGCTCAGTGGTTGACCATTGACCTATGAACCAGGGGGTCATGATTCGATTCCAGTGAGGGCACATGCCTGGGTTGCAAGCTCGATCCCCAGTGGGGGGTGTGCAGGAGGCAGCTGATCAATGATTCTCTCTCATCATTGATGTTTCTATCTCTCACTCTCTCTCCCTTCCTCTCTGAAATCAATAAAAACCTATTTTTTAAAATAAAACAAATAAAAGCAACTGGATGCAGAACAAATTCTCTGCGTCATTTCGTTATTGGTGTGATTTCATTTCATCATGTATAAGTTCTCAGGTTCACAAAAACTATAACCATACATAGGGAGGGAGTAAAGTAGAAACTAAAATAATTTGAAGGTGAAATCTGGCTCCTTATACAATAGATAATTATATGGATCACACAAAAAATAGTTTTGTGTAAGGCAGATAACTGTTTTAATATTAATAGCTAAATTTACAAAACTCTATTTTTATGATTTCTTACTTAATGCTAATACTTAACACTTTGGTTATGCATGCATTTTTTCCTCCTTATTTGCTTGGATTAAAAAAGTAAGCTTAACACAGACAGCATGAAGACAATGTAAAAATAAAACAAATACTTACTAAGAAATCCTCATAGAGCTGAGTGTGACTGACTTGCAAATGTCTTATTAAACTGCCACTGAAGCTGCTTGGGTTCTCAGTGGGTATTAAACGGCAGAGTGGGCAGAACTGGGAACAGACAAGACCAAGAGTTCAAGAAAGAATTTAAAATAATCACCAATGTCAGAATTAAAACATCAAATAGCCAACTACTCAACCATAAGAAAAACTGGAATACGACCACTTGTGACAACATGGATGGACCTTGAGAATATGCTAAGCAAAATAAGGCAGTCGGAAAAAGCTAAGAACCATATGATTTCACTCATATGTGGGATATAAAACTGAAACTCATAGACACAGACACCAGTATGGTGGTTACCAGAGGGAAGGTGGGGTAGGAAAGGGTAAAAGGAGCCAAATATATGGCGACAGAAGATGATTTGACTTTGGGTGATGGGCCCACAATGCAATAAGGATCATGTATCATAGAAATCTATACCTGAAACCTATATAATCTTATTAATCAATGTCATCCCAATAAATTTTAATTAAAAAAATAACCACTCAATAAAATGAAATTTAACTCGACAAATCTATTGGCCATATCTCAGTTTTATGTTTTAAAATTTCATAAACATTAAAACATTAAACACATAAAATTGCATTTATTCTTATATATATTTCTTGTATACATACTGTATAGCTACTATTTTCATAGTTATTAACTGATTAAACAATTGTACAGTTAGTAGATGCACTTAATGTTAGTAATATACTTAACTAGTTGCCTACCTCTTGAAATAAGTTTTTTGTATGTAGATATTTTATTATTACAAATGATATTATCTATAGTGTTTATCTTTTGGGGGGGTTATATTCTTAGGACAAATGACCAGAAATGGAGATTCGTAGTCAAAGGTTATGAACATTTATGGTCCATAATATCTATTGCTTTAAAGTATTTTTATTACCACCAGCAATAAAGATTATAACACACCAGCATCAGTAATTAGTATTTACATGTATTTCCTAATTTAATAGCTATGAATAGCTCTTCAAAAAAGAACTTTCATTTTGAAATATCTATAAACTCACAAGAAATTGCAAAAATAATTCAGAAAGGTCCCATTTCCCATCACCCAGTTTTCCCAAATGGTAATAATCTTACATAACTATAGCACATTATCGAAATCAGGAAGTTAGCAATTAACTAGGCTACAGATCTGCCTTAGGTTTCACCAGTTTTTGCATTAATTCAGTTTTGGGTGTGTGAGTGTGTGTGTGTGTGTGTGTGTGTGTGCATGTGCATAGTTCTACGAAATGTTATCACGCACATAGATTCATATGCCCATCAACGAAATCAGATACAGAAGTATCCTGTCCCTGCAAAGGAACGTCCTAGCACTACACCTCTACTTCCTTCTCTCCCTACCCTGGTGTCCACCGATCTGTCCCCACCTCTACAATGTCACCATTTTGAGAATGTTAAATAAATCCAATTATACTGCACTTAATCTTGTGAGATTGGCTCTTCACACGGAGCAGAATGACCTTGAGACTCATCCAAAGTTGTTGCTTGCATCCACAGTTCCTTCCTTTTTATTGCTAGGGGTAAGTAGACCGTGATATGGATGTACCACAGTTTAACCATTTCCTTCCTGAAGGACATTTGTTGTTTCCAGTTTGGGGCTGTTACAAATAAAACTGTAATGAACATCTGTGTACAGATAGCTGCATAGATGTTTTTATTTCTCTAGGATAAATTTCCAAAAATTTGATTGGTGGTCATATGGTGAGTGTTAGAGTTAACTTGGTGAAAAAAAACAAAACAAAACAAAATAAAAGCCTACCTCACTACTATACAGCAATAAAAATTATAAAAGCCACACCACAGCCCTAACTGGTTTGGCTCAGTGGATAGAGCGTTGGCCTGCAGACTGAAAGGTCCCAGGTTCGATTCCGGTCAAGGGCATGTACCTGGTTTGGTGCACATCCCCAGTAGGGGGTGTGTAAGAGGCAGCTGATCAATGTTTCTCTCTCATTGATGTGTCTAACTCTCTATCCCTCTCCCTTCCTTTCTGTAAAAACTCAATAAAATATTTTTTTTAAAAAGCCACACCACAAAGTAGAATTAAAATGCCAGGTTGAAAAGAAAAAAGGCAGCACTCACTATGAATCCAGGAAATGATGAGCAATATGTGTATTTAATGCACAAGCATGTGGATATATAAGAAATAAAGTAACAGACTGATTAATAAAGATGAATGACTTCATGCTTTTCTTTTTTTGTTTTTATTTTATACTAGAGGCCTGGTGCATGAAATTCATGCACGGGTAGGGTACTTAGGCCTGGACGGCAATCAGGGCCAATCAGGGCCAATCAGGGCCTTCCGGCTGCCGGCCGGGGCCTTCCTTTGTTCTGTGCCACCCTCTGGTGGTCAGCCCACATCATAGTGAGCAATTGAACTCCCAGTCTCACAGTCAAACACCCAAGGGGACACTTTGCATATTAGCCTTTTATAGAATAGATAATTTTCTACTTTTCATTTCTAGTGTATTTTCATAACTCTATTTAAAAATGTTTTTAACCTAGGATGTGACCATGTTTATTATACTAAAGTTAGATCTTAATTGTGCGTTTTGGATATTCTTAGTTGATTATGCCCAGGATTATCTGTAAGAGATAATGTCTAATTTCATAAATGAATGATTGAATGAACATTAGTAATTCTTATCAGTTTCAATTCAACACTTTCACATTTTGTTAATGTCACAGAATTACCATAACCTTGACAAATTATCCTATATAAAATATCTGTAAACAGAAGCCTATCAAATAAATTTTCTAATATATATTGAATTTAGACATTGCAGAAATGTATAGTGACAAAAATCCTTACCACCGGTCTCCTTTCTGATCTGTGATGATTAATACAATGATCCAGCAAGCTGTCTTCATCCAGTTCCTTCTGACAAAATGGACACACACACCTGGAAATTGCATAGAATATGAATATCACTAAAATTATTGGCAATGAGAGTAGTCACTTAACTACAGAGGTAAAAAATAGATCCAGTTTCCAGTCCTCATTCTTTCTGAATTGGTATAATTTTTTCCAATCCTGATCATGGTCTCGGTGCCTAAAGTCTTTCTCCTGAGGGATGTAAATGTGTGACCTTCTGGGGGCAGGGGAGAGAAACAGCTGCAGTCCACCTGAAGCCCCATTCACTGAGGAACTGAGCACTGAGTCCACCCGCCTGTCCCTGCGTTACTTTGTCACTTTTCCATCCTCCCTTTCCTAATCTTGATTTGGGTGTTATTTGTCCTCCAACTCTTCTAGCATATATATATAGAGAGAGAGAGAGAGTGGGGCAAAAGTAGGTTTACAGTTGTTCGTATGGAAAATAATACAATAGTTAATAAGTAATAATACAAAAATAAACTCTGTGTTTTGCATACCCACAACTGTAAACCTATTTTCCCCTCCCTGTGTAACTACAAGTGTCAACTCACATAATTAGTATCAAGTGAAGAATGAAAAATGACCTTCAACTACCCTGTTAAGCCCTTACGCTTGGGGGTATTTGTTCCTCTATCTTGCTGCCCAATACAGTAGCCATTAGCCATATGTGCCTGTTGGGCACTTGAAATATTGGTAGTCCAAATAAGATATGCCAAAGTATAAAATACACACTGAATTTCAAAGGGTTAATCTAAAAAGAATGTAAAATATCTCAATAACTTTTATATTGATTAAATGTTGAAATAATAGTTTGGCTATATTTGGGTTAAGTAAAATATATCAAAAATTGATTTTCCTTGCTACTAGAAAAGTTTAAATTACATTATATACTCTGCATTCTATTTCTATTGGCCAGTGCTGCCTTAAATTCTTAGGGACAATATGGAAACTTGGAATTTTTTGCTCACTTTCCATTATAGATATAACTTCCTACTTTCTAAGACTTGTATTCTAGACAAGCTGCCTGCGTAAGAAATTTAAAAATTTGAATCACGGAGTAAGTTCTTCTATAAAACAATGACTTCTATTTTAAATGCAAATATTAATCTATCCTGTAAGAGTGATTAATCACCAACCCTTCTCATTTTCTGTTATTTTCTCTTTTTTTCCATTTTCTGTTATTTTAATTCTTTACTATTTAATTCTAACTAGCAGAAGAAATTCAGCTTTAAATTAGCTTTTGATATTTTAATTTTTTTATAAAGCCTATCAACCTTGCAATCAAATACACACATACTTTCTCAAACCAGTTGCTATCCTTCCTTCCTATTGGCCCTTGCGGTCAATCTAACAAAATCTGGACTCTGCTTATAAATTTAAAATTTGTACTGTCATGGTATAAAACGAATTCTATAAAACAAGTATGTTTGCAAAGCAGTGTCTAGTAAAACAAAAGGAATGGCATGATCATTTAGACTTCCAGGTTAAAAAGTATAAGCTACATTTTGAGTGTGTTTTCTTAAAATAAGCAGAACTGCCGAAACCGGTTTGACTCAGTGGATAGAGCGTCGGCCTGCGGACTGCAAGGTCCCGGGATCGATTCCAGTCAAGGGCATGTACCTGGGTTGCGGGCACATCCCCAATGGGGGATGCGCAGGAGGCGGCTGATCGATGTTTCTCTCTCATCAATGTTTCTGACTCTCTATCTCCCTTCCTCTCTGTAAAAAATCAATAAAATATATTTAAAAAAATAAAAAATAAGCAGAACTAACATTTTCCTTCAGGAGAGAGAAAGAATTCACACCCCTACTGAATCCCATTATTGGGTAACTGAGTTTATAAGCACATTTAATGATTTCAAAGTCACCATTTCTTTATTTTGTTAGGGGAGAGAGAGACTCCAAACTTTGTAATTATTCTGGCTATCTGGACAATAATGACCCAGATTTCTTTTCTTTTTTTAAAGAAAAAATAGCCGAAACCGGTTTGGCTCAGTGGACAGAGCATCGGCCTGCGGACTGAAGGGTCCCAGGTTCGATTCCGGTCAAGGGCATGTACCTGGGTTGCGGGCACAGTAGGGGATGTGCAGGAGGCAGCTGATCGATGTTTCTCTCTCATCGATGTTTCTAACTCTCTATCTCTCTCCCTTCCTCTCTGTAAAAAATTAATAAAATATATATATTAAAAAAAGGAGCTCAATATCTTCCATTAAACCTACTAGCAACCCCTATCCATCTTCCAGCCCCCAGAGGTATAGAATACAGATGCCTGCTGAGGCCTGTACCTCCTTGTTAGAATATATATGGAGAGGTATGATGTGACTTCCTACTTTCTAAGGAGAAATGGGCAAAATGAGTGGGAGGGAACTGGGAACTGGGCAGTGGTGGTAGAAAAGTAAAGATGAATAACCTCTTCTTTTTTTTTTAAGATGAATCACCTCTTAATCACGATCTGCTTCAGAGCTCTATTAGTCAGAAAGCAGGGCCTAGCAGAAATGAGCAGTTCTGCATTGTCTGTGGCTCTCCCTTAATATAAACCCGACTGAGGACGTTGCCCTCATCTCTCCAGTGCTCGGCTGGCTCCCTCCATGCAAAGTCCATGATTATTGCTATTAACAGCTGGTTACCGCCCGGCCAGCAAGGCTCAGGGGTTGAGCGTCAACCCATGAACTAGGAGGTCACGGTTCGATTCCCGGTCAGGGCACATGCCTGGGTTTCAGGCTCGATCGTCCAGTGGGGCGTGCAGGAGGCAGCCGATCAGTGACTCTCTCCCATCACTGATGTTTCTCTCTCTCTCCCTCTCCCTTCCTCTCAGAAATCAATAAAAATATATCAAAAAAACAAACACAAAACAAATGGTATTATGGTTAAGAGCTAATAACAGGCATTATGGTTAAGAGCCTGCCCATAACTACATGCATGTTTTCACAATAAAAATTTTAAATTTCCCACTAAATTCTTTTTCCCCCTTTTCTGTAACATAACATTAAAAAGTTTTTCAATTACAATTTACATTCAATATTACTTTGTATTAGTTCCAGCATTAAGTTCTTTACAGACATATCGAAGTTAGCACTAAATTGTGCTCTGTGGAAACGAACCTTGCTGCTGTCTCCCCGAGTTCTTGTAGTGGTCCGTATTTATCTATGTACTTCTGACAGGTTCTTATGTGTGCCCTCATCTCGCTGAGGCAGACCTACACAAAAGCAAATTCAAAATAAACTCACTGCTGAAAGGGAGCTCAGAGAAGTCTGTGTGACCCGGCTTTATTGCCACTTTCATTATTTCAAGTAAGGTCAGAGTGGGGGTCAGCTGACTTTAAAAGGATGCATTCATGAAAACAGTACAACAAAGCTAGGGCATTATCCAGAACAGCACTACTTTTCAATTTCTCTAACACTTTGAAGACCCAAATGTTGAGTTACTGAATTTGGTTCTTCTAAAAAGCATTTATTTTTTAAGTGGAAAGATGTAGATGAACTGAAATTTACTTTTTGGGAATGCTATTACCTAAATTGGTGATGGAAAGATGCGAGTGGGAAAGAAAAAGGGGAGAGGGAAAAGAGAGGAAGAGGGAGGAAGGGGGAAAAGTAAAAAAAAAAAAAAAGATAGAAAAGCATAATAAATGGATGGATTTTAGGAATATCCATAATAAGTAAGAAGAAACCCTGTGCCTCGGGAAAAAGCTATAAATACCCTGGTTTTTGCATGTATCTAGTAGTATGACATGAATTCACAATACACAGCACACTTAATGGCCCCATTAAGAGCACACATGAAAGGCAGCTCTTGCCGTCCATTTTTATCAAAGCCAAAGAAAGAGCCCTTGTTCCTGCAGATATACATTCAGAGCCCTGACCATGAGGCATCTGTGGCTAAATAACACATGTTGTACTCAGTGCTTCTGCAGGAACTGATAGGATCTGTGCTGAGGGGAGCTCTCACAGCTGTGGTAAGGTGGCCGACCCACCCTGCTTCACGCTGCCCACACAACCGAAGTGAAACCTCAAACTTGAAACAGTTATAACTGCTTCACAAAAGACCAAAAATAAAAGCAAGTCCTCGCCTTACGAATATCTAAGTAAAAGATGTAAAATCCGGGGCTGATGTAGGTAGCCGCCTGGACACAGACTGTTACCGTCTTGAACACCCAACTTTGCCCACCAGTGCTCTCTCATCTCTTCCCTACTCGTGTTAAAGGTTTCCGTCTTCCTCTTTGTGTTCCTTCATCAGCAAAGCGAAGGGCACTTCACAGAAATTAGCAATCTGGGGACCATATACACTGACAGATGAACTGATAAGTTCACACAGTGGCCACTCTAGAGACAAAAGTATGTCAGACAACGTCAGAGATGACAGAAGACACATAAACCACTGTGGGTGGCCCGGCCAGCGTGGCTCAGTGGTTGAGCATCAACCTATGAACCAGGGGGTCACGATTCGATTCCCAGTCAGGGCACATGCCCAGGTTGTGGGCTCGATCCCCAGTATTCAGGAGGCAGCTGATCAGTGATTCTCTCTCATCATTGATGTTTCTATCTCTCTCCCTCTCCCTTCCTCTCTGAAATCAATAAAAACATATTTAAAAAATAAATAAACCACTGTGCTTGCTGTAAAGCTGCTTCTAATCTAATGGAAGGGGGAGAAAGATATGAACGTAGACAAGTAGGAAGGAAGCTGATATGGGCACTGGCATACGAAAGCCAGGCGTCATGGGGTGGAGCTGTGGCCTGGATTCTTTGGCGTAAGTAGCATCTAAGATGGCTATCGAAGGAATGGCAGCATTCCTGGCAGGACGAGTAACAGAAAACAGAAGATATGGATACAAGAAATACCCCAAAGAGAAAATGCAAAATGCAGACATGGGGGGGGGGGGGAGCACGAGGGAGAGGGGTAAAAAAGAAAGGGAATTTCCACTCAGAATAATTGAATGTTGTTTCTGACGGACACCAAAGGTGGGATAAAGAACAGGATGATGAAATAATACCCTGAGTTTGAGTTGGGACGTGTTACATTTTATACGATGAAAAAAATGTCCAAGTAAAAATAAGCACCAGTCTATTATGATGAGGTGAAATCTTTTGATTTTGAGTATTTCTCATATTTGAAACCATGTGTTTTCTCATTTACCTTTAAAACCATCCTGTGACACAAACATTACCTTTTTCCTTATTTTCCAGAGATAAACAAAAACTCAGATTAATAGCTTGTCCCAAATCACAAAGAGTAAGTGAGAGAACTAGTGTTTGATGCTAGGATGTTTGACCTCAAAGACCATGCATGTATTCTGTAGCCAGGCAGCCATGAAGAGGTTACTGAGTCTTACATAAATACCAGTGTTTATTAAAAACAAACTGCATTAAGCACTTACTATGTGCCAGCCACTTTTCAAAGTGCTGGGTACAGAGTTACCAATAAAACAGACACAGTCCTTACCTTCTTGGAACTTAAATCTGGTGGGAATAACTGATATTCAATTAAAAAATCATAAAAGCATAATAATAAGTGGTGAAAATTGTTATAAAGGGGACACAGAGTGCTAAGAGAAAGTATAACAGGCTATAATTTAGGTTAACAATCAAGAAAGATTCTCTAAAAGAATTTAGACCTTCAGTACATAATCTCTCTTTTGATCTTTAGACTGGTATAGCCAAGTATCTCCTACTTAGTTCAAATTTTAACGCATCTCAAATTCAACTCTGTGGATTCTGCTCCAAACCTGATCCCCATTTTAACACCTTTGCTACTCATCCCAGAAACCTTGCAGGCACTCTGACACTTGGCGCTCCCTCACCCCCACATGCAGTCAATCACCAATTTCCTTTGCTTCTCCCTCCTAAACACACCTTGAAAAAACGTCTTATCTCATACCTAACACTATCTCCCCAACCCAACTTCCTTACCTGACCCATACTGACAGCCACCGATTCGGCTTCACCAGTCCTGCCTCTGCCCCCTGCAAGCCACCGTCCACGCACACGCTGGAGTAATATCCCCAGGTGTAACCCCGATCAAAGGCTTACACTTCTTCTATGCGTCACTATTGCATGTGAGATACAATCTAGATAGAATCTTTGGCATGGCCCCAAGCCCTCACATGGTCTAACCATGCTCGCCTAGGATCAAGGATGAAAATTGCAACAGGAGGAAGTGGTGGAGAGAGAGAAACACTGCCAAGTCAAGGGTGTGGGTGCAAGTGTGCCACTGGATTTGCTATCATCGATGTTTCTAACTCTCTATCTCTCTCCCTTCCTCTCTGTAGAAAATCAATAAACTATATTAAAAAAAAAAAGAAAGAAAGTGTTTGTGTGGAAAACGAGGCGATGGTAGGCATTCGATGACTATTTTCTTGCCGCTCACACCGATGAAACTGGAGAAAGGCAGAGACCATCACCTTTAGGAAGCCGGGGTGGGGGGAGGTCAAAGGGCACAGGTGAACCGAGGAGCCGTGTACCATTTTTCTCAGCCCTGCGGGCCGGCGAGCACAGGGCCACTCACCCGGGAGCACAGGGCCACTCACCCGGGTGCCGCACTCCGCGCAGTTCTGGAACTCTGACTTCATCCTTCTGGTCACGTCCGTGGCTGGGACTCCTTCGGAAGGAAGGTACGCGCGGCAGTAAGGGCAGGTCCACTTACTGCTCTTCAGACTGGTGGCAATACAGGAGCGGCAGAACCTGCCCGAAACACACCAAGGACACATCACTCTCCCTGAAGGGTGTGACGAAGCGGCCACTGCGGGCTCACCTGCGGGAACTGCCCTGTAGTGGCACCTTGTGCGCTGTGAGCTGCAGAACCCCATGGAAGGTCCATTTGCCCCCGGCGCTGGCCAGCCTCTTACCTCCCCCAGCAAGACCTGGCTGGGCTCACAGGTTCTCGCCACAGGCACTGCCCGCATGTAAAACAGGAACACAGACCACGTGGTCAGGTGGCATTCTAGAAATGGAGTTAACACGATAACCCTAAGGATAGGTACTGTATTCTTCCTTTTCTTTAATCCTACTTTACCTACAATTTCGGGGGAAATAGGTGTTTGCTGTGTAGAATGTTGAGTGTTAGATAAGAAAACAGCAAGCTGAGGCCCGGTCAGCATGGCTCAGGGGTTGAGCAACGGACCCAAGGGGTCATAGTTCGATTCCTGGTCAGGGCACATGCCCGGTTTTCGGGGTGGGTCCCCAGTGTGGGGGGTGCAGGAAGCCCACTCACTGAGGCAGCCGATCAAAATGAATCTCTCTCATCATTGATGTTTCTATCTCTCTCTTCCTTTATCTCTGAAATCAACAAAAATATATTTAAAGAAAAACAAACACACAAAAGAACCCCAGACCTGCCTAGGTTTCCACCCTTTCTTTCCTGGGTGTTTTTGCTATTATTGTTTGGTAACACTTTACTTTTTTTTAAAATATATTTTATTGATTTTTTACAGAGAGGAAGGGAGAGGGATAGAGAGTTAGAAAGATTGATGAGAGAGAAACATTGATCAGCTGCCTCCTGCACACTCCCCACTGGGGATGTGCCCGCAACCAAGGTACATGCCCTTGACCGGAATCAAACCCGGGACCCTTGAGTCCACAGGCCGATGCTCTATCCACTGAGCCAAACCAGTTAGGGCAGTAATGCTTTACTTTGATATAATTTCAAACTTGATACTTGTTTTTTGTTTACGAATTTTTGAAACATTTTTTAAAATACCTTAATTCACTTAACCTTCCCAAACCCCTGAGAAAGAGGACCATTCCCATTTACAGATGAGGAAACTGAGGTACATAGAGATTAAATTGCTTCTGTGAAAGGACCTAAACCTGATTTGGGTCTCAAACTGGGGTTTTCTGACCCAAATTCAGTAACCTTTCTCTCTGCCAACACAGCTGGCCCGGATGGAAAGAGCAACCTTTTGCTGGAGTCCAGAGAACACGTCCTCTGCTCTCTCTTTTACGTCTCTCTGCCTCCAGTGACTCAGTGTGAGCGCTAAAGTCAATCCGCCCTTCCTTGCATTTCTTTGAGTCCCTGAGAGTTGGTTCTCAAAATGCAGGCTCTGAAAAGTATTTATTACAAACTAGAGGCCTGATGCACGAAATTCGTGCAAGAGTAGGCCTTACTTTGCCCGGTTGCTGGCACCGGGCTTCCCTCCGGCCGCCGGCAGGCACCCAGGACCCGGGCTTCCCTCACAGCTCTGGCTTCATCCGGTAGGTCGTCAGAAGGACGTCTGGTCTAATTAACATATGACACTTTCATTATTATAGATGATCCAAATGCTCAACTCTTAGATGACATTTTTAATCCAACACGTATGGCTTGGACATGAAGTATTTATTAACATACTAGGGGCCCAGTGCACAAATTCGTGCACCTTGAAAGGAACAGTGGGCCACGAGGCTGCTGTGGGTACAGGGGTGGGTCTCAGCCCATCCTCCGCGCCCCCACCTAGCCCCTCCTACTGCGCCTCCCAGCCCCCTCTCTGCCAGCTATGGGCGCTGCCATCTTTGTGACGGAGAGACGAAGTGACGGTTAATTTCCATACTACTCTTTTATTAGATAGGATATATATGTGTGTGTGTGTGTGTGTGTATATACACATATATATATAAATACACACACACACATACTAGAGGCCCAGTGTGCAATATCACGCGGCCCCACCCACCTGCGTGCGGCCTGCCCACCCACCTGCTACTCCGCCACTCTCACCCGCCCACCACCCTGTTGCACTCGCAGCCCCGCCCACCAGACTGCCGCGCTTGCAGCCATGCCTGCCTCACTGTGCCCACCTGCCCGCTGCCCTGCCCACCCACCAGCCGCCAGCCTTGCTGCGATCGGAGCCTGTGGGCCATGGGGGAGGGCCCAAGAGGTGCTCCATGCACCTCACGGTGACCAGTCCTTTGGTCGTGATACCTCTTGGCCTTTTATTATTATGATAGAATTTAGGAACAAGCAGGTAACACTTTGTTTTTTTTGTCAACCAAAAGCCTTCCTCCTTTTCTCACAACTTAAGAGTTTTATGCCAATACAGGCAGGAGACTAGCATTGGTGCCAAGCCCTGTGGTGGGCACTGAGACATGTTCCCTCCTTTCATCCTCACGGCAATCCTAACGAGGGCTCTGCTCTCTCCTCACTAGACGGAGGGCGGACTGAGGTTCAGAGGGGGTGACAGCTTGCTGAGGTCACAGCCAGAGGACAGTCATGCTTTTCTCCTCACACAGCTTCCAGGGAGGCTCGAAGTTGCCTTTTCATTCCTCCCAGTGAGAAAAGCAGCAAAGTGATATCACGGACATACTGTATATAAACCAGTGGGTACATTCTAGAATGTGATTTGAAGAGAAAAACATCTTTAAAAATATATTTTTGCCTGGATGGTGTGAGTCGGTTGGTTGGAGCATCGTCCTGTGTGCCTGAAGGTCACAGGTTCATTTCCTAGTAGAGGACATAACCTACCAGGTATGTATCTCTCTCACATCAATGTTTCTCTCTTTCTCAAATCAATAAAAATATAGTTACCAAAATTCATCAACCAATACACTTTTAAAACAATATATATTTGTTTTATTGACTTCGACAGGAAGGGAGAGGAAGAGAAAGACAGATACATCAATAATGAAAGAATCATTGTTTGGTTGCCTCCTACACGCCCCACACTGGGGATCAAGCCTGCAACCTGGGCCTATGCCCTGACCAGGAATTGAACCTTGACCTCCTGGTTCATAGGTCAACGCTCAACCACTGAGCCACACCTGCAGGGCTCAACTTATACACTTTGTGTGAATTGTACTGTATCACTCCCATAAAGCTAGAAAACAATACAACAAAACAAAAATATTCCCAGACAACACTGCATGGAGATCACAGAAATATATACAGCACAGACCCATTCAGAATCTTGTAGGCCTCCCTCCTACACAGCTCCAGACACACAGTACCTATTCAATAAATTGAAGTAACTAAATCAGTTATGAGGAAATGCCCCAAAAAGAATTTTCTGAGCAGGGCCCAATGTTCCCATTAATACATAAGAGTCTCACTCTAACCGATCTGGCTCGGTGGACAGAGGTCAGTCTGCCGACTGGAGGGTCCCAAATTCGATTCCGGCCAAGGGGCATGTACCTGGGTTGTGGGCTTGATCCCCTTTAGGGGTTGTAGCTGATCGATGCTTCTCTCTCATCGATGTTTCTAACTCTCTATCCCTCTCCCTTCCTCTCTGTAGAAATCAATAAAAATATATTTAAAAAATAAATTAAACAGTAAATAGCCCTAACCGGTTTGGCTCAGTGGATAGAGCGTCAGCCTGCGGACTGAAGGGTCCCAGGTTCGATTCTGGTCAAGGGCATGTACCTTGGTTGCGGGCACATCCCCAGTAAGGAGTGTGCAGGAGGCAACTGATCGATGTTTCTCTCTCATCAATGTTTCTAACTCTCTATCCCGCTTCCTTCCTCTCTGTAAAAAAAAAAAAAAATCAATAAAATACCTTTAAAAAAAATAATAATAAATAAATAAACAGTAAATAGGAGTCGTGTGTCCTTCTGGAAGAACCCAAGGGACAGAAAGAGACACAAACCTAAGGAGAGAAGGGATCCCTGTTTGTCTGCCCCACCCCACGCCATAATGTGGCTCAGAATGACAAATTATAAAAGATACGATGAGAATGAGGCAGACGTAGGCGAACGATAGAAGCTAAGGGTGGAAGTCAATTGCATGTGTGTGTGCTTTTTTAATTTGTATCTTTTATTTATAGAATTTATTAGGGTGGCATTGGTTAATAAAACTGTATAGGTTTCAGATGTATCATTATTTTTAAAACATTTTGCTTATTGATTTGAGAGAGATCTTTTTGTTGTTCCACTTATTTATGCATTCGTTGGTTGATTTTTTTTCCCCAAAATATATTTTTTTATTGATTTCAGAGAGGAAGAAAAGGGAGAGAGACAGAAACATCAATGATGAGAGAGAATCATTGATTGGCTGCCTCCCGCACACCCCATTGGGGATCAGGCCCACATTGGGGATTGGGCTCACAACCCAGGCATGTGCCCCTGACTGGAATCGAACCTGGGACCCCTCAGTCCGAAGGCTGACACTCTATCCACCAAGCCAAACCAGCCAGGGCTGTTTGATTCTTGTATGTGCCCTGACTGGGGATCAAACTTGCAACCTTGGCACATTGGGACCACACTCTAACCAACTGAGCTACCCAGCCGGGGCTCGGGTGTACAATTCTATAATATGTCATCTACATATCGTATTGTGCGTTCACCACCCCAAGTCAAGTCTCATTCCATTCAATTGCAGGTTTTTCAGACCAGTTCAATGTTTTCAAAAATTCTGAATGAGTTGCTTTAAAATCAGATTTCACACATAAGCCCAAATTTCTGGCTTCTCTTGAAAAGCTAACCAACCTCCTACAACCCTGGACTCAATTCCCAAATGGCCATATGGGTTGGTGCCCCCTCCTGTGGAGTACTCACCCCCGCCCCGCCCCCGCAACCATTTGTACCACTTGCAGCTCACCCCTGCTGAATGTACTGCTCCTTGAAGAATCAATTAGGAACTAGATAATGACTGGGAGAACTCTGAAGCCAGCTGGGAACTTAATTACCCCACTCCCGTTGGTTATTTCATTAACCCTTTCTGTGTTCCTGAATTAAGTGATTGGCAAAGAACTCAGCAAAGGATTGGAGGGGAAAAGGAAAAGAGTTGCTGAGGCCATTGGGTAAAATTATGCGCCCAATCTTAAGAGGTAAAAGAAACCTAAGTATAGATTTAAAGAGGAAAAAGATGCATTAGGGATTCCGTGGGGCCTGGGTCAGACAAGCAAAATAAGTTGCCCAGAGGCAGTCCCCAAATGGGGTTCTGGAAGAAGCCACTGGCGGCACGTGGCTGATCTAAAATTTTATTTTTGTTCTCGACACTAGGCTGCCTCACTGTGGGTATGC